TGTAAAACACTTAAATACACCATTTCGAATTTCGATACCTCACTAATATAAAGGCTTGGTTTGGTCGGATATTTCATCGGTGGTAGTGTCTAGGGACACTGATAAGGAGTGGAATTCTCCGAAACTAGTCTGACTTATACACCCCCCCCCCAATGAAAGAATAGACCATTCCAAGCTTTTACTTGTTGTTAAACAACTCTATTCAAAGGAAAACATCATAATACAGTAGCCTTATTTTAACAACCAAACAAACTTTAACTTTAGTAACAGGAGATTATATAGCAAGATTTTTTTTGTCTTTCACAATCAAACAAAAAAAGACCCTCATAACACGAAATAAGACGTTAGTTAAAAAAACCTAATCTAGTAGCTAAACAAACATCAACTATTAGCAAAATAATAGTTGCTAATACAATATTCTTTTCTTCTTATTTTTGTTTTTAGTAATTAAACAAATATACACCCAGGTAACACGAAAGAAACCTCTATTAAATTAATTAAACTAACCGACAAATAAATGTCAATTCTAGCAACTTAAAGGTTGTTATTCTTCGTTGTTAATAATGAAACAAAAATGGACCTTGGTAACGAGAAGGAAATGGCTTTATCAATTCTGATCTAACAGACAAACAAACAGCACAGAAGTTGTTACCACTTCCAAACACTCCATTTTGAAGACGAGAAAGTAAAACAACCACGAATTACTTGGAACTTGTATGTAGATCATACTGTTTTCTTACAGAATATTTCACCTCTATTTATTACAAAATTTTTACCAACCTTTCATCTCAATATGTTAAAACGTAATGTTAAAGCTTCACCTCAATGTGTTACAAACACAGTTCTAAACATTTACCTCAATAGTTTACAAAGGTAATGTTAAGGCTTCACCTCTGAGTGTTATAAACGTCTTGTTTATCTTTTACCTTAATATGTTAAGGCTTCACCTCAGTGTGTTATAAACATCTTGTTAATCCTTTACCTCAATATGTTACAAACGTAATGTTAATATTCACCTTAATGTGTTAGGAAACGTTCTCAAGATCTTACAAACTGCGTATTAACTCTTTACTTTTGGGTGTTACAAGCGGTTCATTTGAGATTGTTACAGATGTTGTTTTAGCCCTTCATCTCAATACGTTATAAACGTAATGTTAACTGTTAACATTAAGGAAAGGTGCTATAGATATAACGTTAACCCTTCACCTCAATAAATTATATACGTAATGTTAGCTTTATATCATATTGTGTTACAAATGTCGTGTTAACTTGCCCCCAGAGACACAGCGATATGTCTGCGGACTTACAACGCTAGAAACCGGGTTTCGTTACCAGTGGTGGGCAGAGCACAGATAGCCCATTGTGTAGCTTTGTGCTTAATTACAAACAAACAAATGTGTTAACTCTTTATGCCACTTTGTTACAAATGTCTCACTGTTCAACTTTGTCTTAACAACAAACAAACATTAGACTTAAAATAAGACCACAAACTCGAGCGCTTTCGAATAGTTGACTATTCGATAATTTGATAGTTGACTATTCGAAAGCGCTCGAGTTTTGGGTTTTATTTTGAGTCTATTAAACTTTATATGTGATCATTTGGGCTAATTCTTTTATCAAAACAAACAAACATTGACCGTCATAAAGCACCAATGCCTGTAGTATTTGTTTTACAATCTTACATAAGACATAAAGTTAGTTTTTTATCGCATGTATTTTCTTCTTTTGTTATACTATAATATGTATTTTTCGCCGTTAGGAACAGCACAGCTGTAAATTATTCTGTAATAAGTATTAAATGACGGACAACATGCTTTCTTCGTAGTGTTTTAGCTCCAAATAAGTAAAACCTATATGTACAATAGTGTTACACCATCATTTAGTTTTCACAAAGTTAAGTTTCTGAGAACGTTCAATGGTCTTCTTATTACTTACCCTCATTCTTAGAGCTAAACGGGCGTCCAAGTAGGGTATGTGGTCGCAAGCGTTGAGAACTGTCTTGCCGAGATAATTGTTGATTATTCTGTCCGATAGGTGGAAGCATCGGCACCCTGCGGCCAGAGTTGGCTTGTTGCCCTGTTTCGTTGCTGTAAATAAAAATATTAACAGTACAAAGATATGTACGCATATTTTATATTTAACTACTACAGATTAAAGACCATACATATTGTTTGTACTTTAATATAATTGAAGTTTTTCTCTGTTAAATAAGAATAAAATAGTGATTAAACTTTGACTTAGTTTTGAAGTTTAAAAAAAATGATCTACAAATATTTGGTAACAAATTACATTGATGAGCAATCACCACGTGCCAATGCGACTAAAACGTGAAAAAGGTTTCTAAGGCTCTTAAAATCCACGATGTAGCATGATAAGAGTTTCTGGCAAAATGCCATTGTTGTACACATTATTTGTGCAATGTAAATTCATTGTTGCAATTTCAAGTAACGTGTTTTCAGACAATTGGTAAGAAACAACGTAAACCTTATATTTATTCTCTTCATTTGAACCTTTTACGCGAATTTTGTATTGAAATATAATTCTGTAGCTGCTGAAATTAAACATCAGCATTAAAGCTACTGAAATCCAAAATTGTCAGCTGTACAGGCTGGTTACAACGTGAGCGGTTTGAGTTTTCTTTTCCGTGCTGACTTAAAAGCCTAAAAACTGTACCATGGGTGAAATCTGACTCAGACAGTTCTTTAATGTCTGTCAATGCCTTTATGTATTTATATATTTTCTTATTTCTACAGCACACTTTTTTTTATTTATTCTACGTTTAAAAATGCTCACCAAAACATTGTAACTCTGCTTTGGCTGGACAATAACAAAATCTTGAATAATAAATAAATATTCCAAAGTGGATAATTAAGAAGTCATCATTCACCTTCTCGAACATTAATTGAGTTTGAATCAATCTATTTATCCATTAAAACTGAAAGTATAAGTAATACCTTGTCATATGTTAGTTCTTATAATGACAACAACATGAATAATTGTGTGCTTTGTAAAGTACACAGCAGTCGAACTTATACAACATGAAATGTGTATGTATTTAATGTTTATGAACTGAAAAATAACAAGAAATAAACTAATTACTGTGTGATACGAGAGTAATATATATTCATTGTTCATGAAATAAACAACAATTTATTAAACTGACCATTCGGTGATGTCTGTTAAGGCCGGGCTACTATGGTGGCTAACTGGAGAGGCGTGGCTACTGATACTCCGACTTGATTGGTTACTGGATAGTAATACTACACCTAAATGATGCATAAAAGCTTTATATTTAACGTATCCCACCTAGTTGAACTTATAGACACGGGTAGTGTTGGATAACCTTTGTAGGTTTGCTATAATACAATATAGAAAATTCAAAAAGAAACTGCGTTTACTTAATAAAATCCATAATATACACCTGGAAAAAAGTTAAGCACCCCCGTGTTTTTTCAAGTGA